TGGGGGTCCTGCAGAGCCAAGAAGAGGCAGGGACATATTCAGGGGCAAAGGTGTAGGGGACCCTGCTGCGTGCTCATGAAGTGCAGGCAAGCCCTTCTGAAAGGACTCAAATGGGTTTCTTTATGTCACTGGCCCCTGTGAGTCACACCCCGCAAGTGTGTTTTTATGGAGTGATGTACACGTGCCTCCCGGTGCCTTCCGTCACCTGTGATTGCTGAGCAACCCTGGGGAGGCGGCAGCAAGGGCCCTGGGCTGCTCTGGTGGGAGGGTCCTCCATGTGGGCTCTGTGTCCCTGGCTCTCCAGGATTTCCCTACAGGTCGCTGTGCTCACAGCCAGGCCCCAAGCATCCAGCTTTTCTGCTGTCTGTCTCTCATGCCGTCCCCGTCCCCACAGCCCTCCCCCACTGCACAAGCAGCGCTGCCTTCCCAGAGTACATCTCTCTGCCTGGATGTCCTCTAGCTGTTTCTTAGCTCTGTAGCTTTTGCTCACCTCTTGGTAGGGTTTCTACCTAGATGTGTCCCCAAAGCCTCAGGCATCCGTAGGCGAGGCTCTGGGAGGGGACTAGGTCATGGAGGCAACAGATTCACCACTGGATTGGTCCACTGCTGAGTTCGGAGCCCCAAGTGATGCTGGAGGGGAGAACCCCCCCCCCCCCCCCCGCAGAGCACTGGGGGCGGGGCTTCTCCCCATCTTCCTCCCTTGAGCTCTCTCTGCTTCCTGCTGCCCAAGGCCGATGATGACTACGAGGACAAGGACAACAAGCAGCTTCTCCCCGTGATGCCCCTCGGCCATGCCGCCCTGCCTTGGAGCCACCAGGTAGAGACTGAAACCAGCACAAACTGAGAACCAAAATAAACCTTTCTTCCTTAAACTCGTGGGTGCTGGGCATCAAGTCCCAGCAATGAGAAACAACGAAGATGCCTGTGAAGGCTCACACCACCGCTCCGCTTCCAGGAAGCCTTCCCAGACGCCGTGCGAGTGAGACCGACCCCAGCAAGAGTGACTCGCTAGTTTTTGCGCTTGTGCAAGTCAGTGTTCACGCTTCTCTTAGCACTTACGATATTAGTGATAATAATGGTTGCGTGTTTACTAATCCCTTATTATGTACCAGGCAGCAGTCTAGACACACAAATACCGCATCATCTAAGCCTCACGACAAAACTATGAAGTAGATACAATTATTATCCTCGTATTATAGAGAATGCTCCAGAGATATGAAGTAACTTGCCCAAGGCAACAGAGCTCTTAAGAGGCCAAAAGATACTTATCTAAGTGCCTAGCACAAGGTACCTGTTCAATAATTATTCACCTCATGAGTTATTAAGGAAGGGAATAAATTCAGAAACAATGACACTTCGGTCTCCATTACACAAAGCTTAAGCAGGAATCATTCCTTTTCATCTTTCTAAGCCTCTTTCCCAGTTAAAATACAGGACACTAAAAACACCTGTGGGTGGGTGGATGCATGAAGGAATGCAAAAGCAAGCCAAGAGAGAACCCAAATCCCAGAGGGGCCCCTCCCCGCTCCAGCCGAAGGCTTCGGCTTCCCAGGCCCCTGGTTGTCAAGGGTCAAAAGCGCAGATGGTATTCCGTGTTCTTTTTAATTCCTCCTGGCATGATGAATTCGTATAGGAAGGGACCGGAGCCCACGGCTGTGTGATACGGCGAATCCCATAGCAATTCATGCGCCATGGGCGCTCTGGATGCTTTCTCCTCTGGCAGCACCAGGCAGTCGGCTCTGACAGCTGAGTAGGCGTTACCCTACGCACAGCCTCTATCAGGCCCGAGAGAGGTAGTCTGGCTTGGTCCGCAGTCCATCCTTATCCAGAGTCACGCCCAGGGGAAGAATTACCAAGCTCCTGATGAAACCCTTAGCGAACACCCGTCAGTAATAACAACGCTCTCCGGTTAGGGGACACCACTGGCACCCGAGCCACTGCTCTCGAGACTGCCTGGGCTAGTCTCCTCGTTCTGTGAGGCCCCCACAAAGCCCTTCTACTTGAATAGACCCGGGTCCCTGGCTCCTGTCACTGGCAGCACTCGCACACACTCCCCTTGATGGCACAAATACAGTAGCACAGCACTCAGCACACAGCAGAGCCTGCTCAACGCTCATGAGAGGCTGAACCCCAATCTCACTACAGACACGGCCACCTCTGTGCAAAGGTACGGGTCTGGCTGAACTGCAGTTATCCCCACCCTGCCCTTGGCGAATCGGGAGCTTGGCGTTGTGCCTGCACTACCCGGCTTAGCATGACCTGCCACATGTACGCCAAGGCCCAGTATTTCTTGTTTGGCTGATACTAAGTGTAAACCATTACACCAAAGGAAATGCAAATGCGGTGTGCAGGCCACATGGTGCCTGTCCATGTGGCAGGAGGGGCAGGGCCCCTCTGCTGTGGCTTTGCCTCACTCACAGCAAGAGGCCCGAGCACTAGCCTTGTGGAGCTGGCCAGTAACCACCCACACATGAAACCATGCCTAGGCCATAACCACAACAAAAGCAAAAGGCCACTCACTGTCGGGAACACCTCTGTCTGTCCTGAACACACATGTTCTTGGGGCACCCTGCTCTCTCTACTTGAGTCAATCATGTGATGCCTGGAAAGAGCTGGCAAGCCCCACGGTAGGCAGTGACCTTGACACTGGCCAGCACTAACCTGGGTGGACCCATCCAAAGCCCTCCCTGAGATGGTTTCAGTACTGCAGTGAAACAGGAAGATTGTTGCCCGGTGGGTGGTTGTGGAGCTATAAAGAGAGGAAGCAGAGGCTACAGACATGGGGGTACATCACATGCAGGGGAACAAACAGTGCCAGTGCTAGCCGGTCACCTAAGACATGACCAGAAGGAGAGAGCACAGGACGGCCGGAAGGAGAGAGCACGGGGAGGCTCACACCCGGACCATCTGTGCTGCCCAGGGCCCTCCCAGGCCTGCCGCACACTTAGCATGCACTGTGTCTCCCCCTCCTCAGGGGAAAGGCTTGGGTTAGCACATATTGAAACGTGTCGTCCCCTGAGTAAGAAATGAGTAGGCAGGAGCACCCCTGCACAGCATCGCTACCCGCAGGCCTTTGCACTCCCTTGGCGTCTCAGGTGCCAAGAGTGACCTGCTACCCAGGAGATGCGAGGACTCTGCTATCTCAAGTCATCAAAGCTTATAAAATACGGGCTTGGCCAGATAAGCCAGGCAATCAGCAGCTGGTTAATGTGTGTGCAGTGTGTGTGTGAGTGTGTAAAGCGGGGGCACTGGGGAATGGAATCCAGTACTTTACACACTGAGCTGCATCCCTACCCCTTTTGTACTTTGTATCTTGATGTGAAGTTTGGCTAAGTTGCCTAGGCTGGCTTCAGGTCTGTGATCTTCCTCACTCAGCCTCCCAGAGCACTGGGATTACAGGTATGTGCCACCTCACTCCACCCCACTGGTGATCCTTGAAAGAAGGATGTTTCCATGGTAGCCAGCTTTTGGTTCATCCCTCTGATGGCTTCATCTTTCAGAATGTTCAACTTTAGGTCATCAAAAAAGACCTACACTAACAAAGCAGGGTGATGACATTTCCTAATAAAACAGGAACTCCGACAACCCCAATGACAGAGCCACTTAGTTCTTTTATGGGGCTGTGTGTATACATTGAGTTTTGTTTTTTAAAAGAAAGCCAACACACATAATCACTAAAAAGAGGAACTCAAAAGTAAATATGCCCCCTCCTCTACCTCTGAAGACCTGCCTGGTGAAGTAGGGTTTATGAAGTTCCAAGCAGTGAGGGAGGCACTTCTGCTGCCCCCCTTACCACTCCCACTTCCCCTGCACAAGGCTGGGGCCTGGCAGGGTATGTGCAGACCCTGCCTGCACAGCTCTCTGCTTGGGACTGAGGGCTTGTCTGCTCCAGCCCTGTACAATGCTCTTCCTGTGCCCTGGACAGTCAGGGTGCCCCGGGGCCCTGTCTCCCTAGGGCAGTGGAAATCAGCCATATCCCACGGTAGACTCAGCAGCTCCTCCTGACCAAAACAAACCCACAACAGGCCCCATTGCCATGGAGAGCTCAAGCCTCTTCTCCTGGGATTGGCACTGACTGGAATTCCAAGGGCTCTGGCTGAGCGACCTCCTGAGAGGTCTAAATACAGCATGTTCAGTCTTAACCTAAACACACTGCCTGGACTTGCGCCCGGGGCCGATAGCCCCCCAAAGCCAGCCTGCGAGTCCTGACTTCTCCTGCTCAGGGATGGCGGGCATGCAGAGATGTCTGGGGTGGGATGCTCAGTGGCACTGCCAGCCCCGCGGGCATGGGTGCTGCCTCGGGCCAAGCAACGGATGCGGGTTAACTGCAGTGTGCTGCTCCTGAGCAGCAGCTGCAGACGGAGGTGGAGAAATCAGGCGTTCAGAGGGAGAAAAAGGAAAGTGAGGACCAAGAGCCTACTTCTTAGTCAACTGATTAAAAACCAAGGGATCTTTCTAGAATATTTGCTTGCTGAGAAGCCCCACTCTCCACTTACACCTCTCGAGGAGCACAGGGCCCAGGGCCCACCCAGTACCGAACGACCAAAGGTTCCTTCCAGTCATGAAACCTTGGGAGCATGACCTGACCCCTCAGTGTCCCCACCCCTCAGGTGGCCCCTGCAACCACTGCAGGTGTGCAGTAAGGTCGCAGACATGAGGTGCCAGCACACAAAAGCTGCTCGGTAAACAGTGGACACTGGAGCTGAGCAGAGGAATGACCAAGTCTTTGCTCTGTTCCCTCCGTCTTGCTTTTGGTTTTGCCCCCTGGGAGGAGACACAAGAGGAGGACCATGATGCCCATGATAAGATGGAAACTTCTGGCCAAGATAAGCTGAACACATAGAGACAAAGGAAACCTTCATTTGAGCAGAACAATACAACATTCAGGCCCAAATCCACTAAGAAACCTAAGCGAGCCAAGTGGCAACAGAACTCCAGTCCCAGATGTCAACCCACCTGTCCCAGGGTGGGGTGAGGGTGTGTACGCTGGGCCCCCTTACCTTGGTGTTCATGCATGCCTTTCCTCGCTTGTACTCTTTGTGGGAGCCACGCTTGTCCAGTTTGTACCACAAGGCTTTGGCCTTCCAGGTGGTCACCTTGGACTTGAGCTTGGAGTAAAAGTTCCTGTGGTCCTGAGGGTCTAGGTCCAGGTGGCGGGTGAGGATGTTGAAGGCCTGAAGGGTGCCTTTGCATGTGGAAGCCTGGACAAAGTTCTCAAATACCTGTCCCGCCTGGGCCTGCTTCTCATCCTCGTTCTCCCCCATGGCCGAGCTGGCTCCCGGAGCGGCGGTGGTGGCGTGGAGAGGGCCAAGACGATCAGCCTGGGACACGGCGAACCTGCAGGTGGAAGTGGGGAGAAGCGAGCTCAGTGGGTGTGCGGGCAGGATGGGCGCCAGAGGGACATTCCTTTAGGATGCTAACTGCTAAGCCTAACACCAAGCATAGGCCATCTCGGGAAGAGGTCCAGGCCACTCTGCTCTCCCTGGCAACTGCTTTCTCCCCAGCACCAGCTCCTCGCTCTGGCTGAAAAGAACCACAGATTACACAGAGCTCTGTACCCTGGCTCATGTTGACAGTGCTGGGTCAGGCTTGCTTCAAGCCAGCCAGCTCTGCAAATATGGGCAAGCGGAAGGAAAAGGCCAGGAGATACGCGCGACCAGCTCCTCTGAAAACTGACTGTTCTTGGTACTACGAGCGCGTGGACTAACACTCGTGTGCCCGCGCCATGGTACCTTCATGCACAGACCAGACGGAAAGCACATTTTGCTCCTGGTTTTGCAACCACCCCACCTGCCCTTTGACCTAACATCTTTTTCTTTGCTTAGTACAGGGTCTACAGGGTCTCCATATGTAGATTAGACTCCTAATAATCCTCCTGTGTTCAACCTCCCAACAGCTGGGATTATAGGCGGACGCCACCAGTCTCATTAGCTACCTCAGCACTCCCCGGGGGCAGGACTGGCATGGCATGCCTGGGATGGAACCCTGGCCCCTGCATCTGCCTAAGCAGGCACTTTAGTCCACTGAGCTATCTGGCCAGCCCTTTAGACCTGACATCTTAAAAGCTCTCTCACTGTCACCAGAGGGAAGGTATTTCCCCTGCACAGGTGACAATGGCAACTCCCCAAAACTTCCCTCTGCTTCCAGGCTCTGTGGGAAGCACACATTCTTCCAGTCAGGGGCACAGGGGAGGAGGACACATGGGCAAGGACGGCAGTCTGCGTTTTGTGAGCTGGCGGGCTGCTGTGTGGAGCAAATGTTGGGGCTCTGGAGGGGAGCTTGGGATGCGTGTTCTTTCACATCATGAAAATAGCTCGCCTGGGTTCTGGCCACAGTCCTTCTCTGAACCACTCTAACCTCAAGCATTTCTTAGGAAAGTCATTTAGGTTTCAAAGGAACAAAAATAAAGTAGAGTTGATTTGCCAAAGCACTTGCTGTTTTTCCAGAATCCAAAGCCAGCTCAAGAAAGTCGGAGTGGAAGGGCTGATCTGAGAGGAGAACAGGAGGGTTCAGCAGACAGCTCCCTACAGGGCCAGGCAGGAGCAGGCCAGCAAGCATGCAGAGCGCGGGGCCCTCAGGATGGCATCGTGCTCCCCGAATGAGGACAGCTAGCTATCTAGGGCACATCAGGATGCACTGGTTTTGTAATGCTAAAAGCAGAGAATGTTGTTTATTTTAGTCCCTCACTCATTCATGCAGCAACAATTACCCCGCCTTAGCAAGTGGCAGGCCTCGTGCTAGGTCCTGGGGACACAGAGGTGGCCAACACAGGTCAGGCAAGGTGGAAGGACAATAGAGCTGACAGCCAGCCAGTGGGCCAGTGGACTGCAAACAAAGAGCAGGGAGCCCAGAGCAGCCAGTCACGTAGAGCCTCAAGGGGTCGGAAGAGCCATCAAGGGGGAAATATAGAAAAGCTGCAGTTGTAGGAAAGAGGAGGATTTCACTAGAAGACTGGGGAGTGGACATGCCAGGCCAATGACACACCAGACAGACAGGGGCAGGAGTCTGGAAAGGGCCAGTGTGGGGCAGAGTGACTGTAAGTTCAAGGTGTCCGCAGTTCAGAGTTCCTGACAAGGTGTGCAAGGGATGTGCAGATTCCAAGGCAGATTGTGCCATGTCCCCTCCAGGTCAAGGGACACTGATAGGTCAGACAGGGACCCTGCCCTCCCTCCTGCTGTCCCGGGGAGCTTCCAGCAGAGTGCTGGGCTGGCTGGAGACTGAGCAGCACACACCCCCTGCTCAAGGCCTCGTCAGCCTGCACACCTGAGTCAGGCCCAGGTCCTCCAGCAGGCCCTACCCGGCCACCTGGTCCATGCCACTCAACAAGTTCCACAGGCTGGGAGAGCTGGCCTTGCTGGCCCGGACGAGACAGACTCCCTTACAGATGCTCTCTCAGCTCCTCTAATGTCTGCGATGCTGACTTTGGCAACCCTGGCATAAACACTGGCACAACCGTCAGCATCTCAACTTTCCCCATGTGCCACCCAGGAGCAGGTACCAATGGTGGACTCATCTGCCTCTCTAAGCCTGTTAACATTCCCAAAGCTTGTCGGGAGGGAGGGAGCCAGATCAGGGCCTCCATGAACAGCAGAGGCAGAGACCAGCAGACGCTCGCACCTGCCGGCTGTGCTATGTGCAGCCTTCTCTGAGGGTGGCACATTGGAGAGCTACAGAGCTCAGTCCAAAGCTCCTCTTCGACCCTCGCTGCCCATGCAGCTGTGTACAGGTCACTCATGTGCCAAGCCTCCTGCTCTTCTTTTATGAGAGACAGATGATAATGATAAGAGGAAGACAGAAACACAGCTGCGGGTGGAGCCTGACCCCAAGAAGCATCCACTGATGGGCTCTCATCTGCCAGACCCATCGCCCCCTGGCAGACCGCAGGGGGATGTGGGGTGCAGTCGACTGAAAAAAATGTTCTATAAATCAACTCTCCGAGTTGCCACCTCCTCCTTGTCTGAGATTACACACCAATTTTAAAGGTATCAAGCCAGATCTGACTCCCAGACAATAATTTACAAACTGGAAGAACTCGCTTCCTTCTCTCCAGAGAAAACTTGAACAACTTAATCTTAAGGCTCCTGCACAGAAAGAGCCAAAGAGCTGAGGTGGGCGTGGGAGCCCCAGCAACCAGCTCTTATCTGGGGTGAGATAAGGGGAGGTGCAGGGAGCTGGGCGACGGGCAGAGACAAGCGCAGCCTTGGACACCCACCCCCGCAGCCCGTGCCAGGCTCAGACCTGCCTCCTGGGACCCAAACAGCCACGTCCCAACAAGGGGCTGGCCAACTGAAGTCGAAGATGATGCTGACACCCACGGTGCGAGCTGTCCTCGTGGGAAAACATCAGAACATTTGGCTAAGTCTGATCAAGAGCACTAGCTGCCTGTGGGGCTCTACAAGTTATCTGATCAGCCTTGGCTTCTGTTTTTCTCATCTGCAAAATGGAGACAACCCTGCTCCGCTCCTAGAGCGCCGTGCAATGAATGAGATCAGATACACGATGTGCCCAATAGCAGGTGGCTGTGCGGTCACTAGCACTGTCCATGGCTTAAATAGCATCAGGCCAACAGGAAGGGAAACGAGCATAATGCATGGCTACTTAGAGACCTTCCCCACTTAATAAACTATATACATTTTAAAACCAGAGGACAAAGCTTTCAATTCAGGAAGCCAGGGTTCAAACTCCCTTCCTAGCCATGGAGCCTTAGACAGATCACTAAGCTTCCGGGTTTTAAGCTCTCCCATGGCAAGTGGGGAACATCATTCAGCATAGATGTAGCAGTGAGTGAACTGGAGACGCACAGGGTATAGGCTGATGTTGGTCCTGAACTCGGAAGGGCTGACCTAGCACTCTGAGGGTTCAGTAAGGCGGAGCTTCCAGAGAACTGGGGTGTGCTACCCTTGGTGGGCACCCTAGAGAGGAAAGTCCAGAGAGTTACCTCAGAGGATTCCAAGTGGCCGGCGCTTAAGGAGGTCTTCCTTGTCCCCTAGCACCCAGATGCTGCCTTTTTGGAGTTGGATATAGAAGCAGAATCAACTAGCCAGAAATATGAAAGGTTCTGCATTTTCTGGGGGAAAAAAAAAACCCAACAAGATGTCATACTGCAGCTTCCAAGAATAGCCTTGAAGCAGTTTGGATTTTGCCAACTGGAGTCCCTTATTTGTGGTTTGTGCCTGCCTATGTGACTTCATGAGTCACAAAGCAATTGCCTTCCCTGCCTCTGGCGACTACAAATTAACACTCGGAGTCTCAAATTGCAGGTGACAGCAAGGGTGATGGGCTCAACTGGTGGCACCGGGGAGACAAGTCCATGGTTTGAGTCCCTGAATCCTTCTCAGAATGAGAACCAGGCCTGCTGCCCTGTTTTCCCACCACACTCACATTCAGAACGGTTACACCCTCCGCCTTCCTTGAACCTTACCACCTGCCAAGTGGCAGCAGCGTGACCAGGTCTTGGGGAAAAGGCAGAGTTCTATAAAAAAAAAAAAAAAAATCAAAGGGGTCTAGAAGGGGACACTGGGCAGAAGTTTCCCATAGAGCAGCAGTTTGGCCCAAAAGAAAGGCTCAATCTTCCAGCCTACCCTCAAAGCCCACAGACTACCTCTGTTGGTGAAGTTCAGTGCACCATAGGAAAAAACCTTCTCGCCACTGACACTGCCAGCTGCGCTACTGAAACCTACCATCTCTGGGGAGGATTTCTCCACAGGCCACAGGGTAGGCTCAGCAATGCAAAGGGATGCTCCTCAGGCAAAGGACCAACAGCTCCAGCTCTGAGCTTCACACATGGAAGCCACTCAGTCATGGCTACTGGATCCTGTACTGAGAAGGGCCGGAGCCAGCCAGGGCCTGGCTGCCGGAAGTGCCTCTTGCGGCATCTTTGCAGAGAGTAGCATGGGAGGGAGTACCCCTTCTTTCTGCTGGCTTCCCATCTATCAGCACACTTGGAAGCCAACTCAAGCCAAAAGGAGCAACTCAGGATTATAAAGGGACCAGAAGAGCCACCGTGTCCTTCCAGTCAGGGGTGCCCAACTTGGTCACCCCCATAAGGGAGAATGCATGACCTCCTGGGACCACCTGCTGCACCCTGACTCCTCTCATCTGGAGGGGAGCTCAAGAAGTCTTCTCAGTCATTCCCTAGAGAGAGGAGCTTTGTCCCCCAAGGGCCCTGTGCTTCCTCTGGGACGTGAGCTCAGCCACAGGAGGCGGAAGCCCTCTCCATGCAGGCTGCCTGATGTGTGGCTTGCCGTGCTGCAGCCCCTCCAGGATGGCTTCGGGCATGCATTCACCATGGGAGTCTTAACCAGGTCCTGGCTGCAGCGAACGTCTGGATGCCTGCTCTGTTACCCCTGGCTCCAAGTCCACTGTGGACCCTGGTCTTCTCTGCTGGCTCTCCACTAAAAGTCCGAGTTCATCTGGTTCCTACATTTGAGGTCCCAGCCTCCTCTCCATGTGGTGTGGGCCCCACTGGTGCAGCCTGACAGGACCTCACACATGCACTTCTCCACCCCCGTCCCTTCTCTCTTGGCCACAGAGACAGGCCCTAGGATGACCCAGGGCATCAGTCCCCGCTCTCCAGTGTCTCATGGCCTAGCACCAGAGACAACTGAGAGTGGTCCAAGCACAGTTCAAGGAAGGAGGAAGGGCAGTCAGCATCACTGGGGTCCCAGGGTGCACCAGGCACCTGTACTCTGCATTATGCCCAGAGTCCTTACCAAGGCCTGAGGGGGGCTGCTGTCCCTGTCTGCCTCTCTGTCTCTCTCTCTCTCTCTCTCCCCCTTTCTCCTCTCTCTCTCCCCTCCCCCTCTCCCCTCTCCATCCGTCTCTCTCTATCAGAATTAAGTCATAACAAAGTAATTTCAGAACTGCTCATCTCCCTACTCTGTAACTCACTATAATTTTGTCATATGTGGCTGTTATGTCATATATGTGTGTATACGCATGTGTGTCTGTGGGTTTTAGGTATTGTGTACAAGTTTGTGTGTGTGTGTGTGTGTGTGTATGTGTGTGTATCTCTCTCTTTCCAGATAGGTAGGTAGGTAGGTAGGTGGGTGGGTGGGTGGATGGATGGATGGATGGATGGATGGATGGATGGATGGATGGATAGATAGATAGATAGATAGATAGATAGATAGATAGATAGATAGATAGATAGATAGATGGATCGATCTTATCCTCCATTATGCTCCGAATCTCTGCCTGGCCCACTCAGCCTCTCCTAGGGCTTCTAGGACAGTGTGGCAAACTTAGGGCACACATGCCATGTTGGCTGTTTGCCTCCCTGAAAGCTATTATTGTGTTTTTCCTTCAATGTATGAATGTCTGCTTACGTATTCAGGTTTAATTGTAGCGTTGGCACTTGGCAGTAAGTGGGCTTGGGGTTGCAGTTTGGGCACTCAGGTTCTGAAAAGCTCACCACCGCTTTGAGAGACGAGGAGCTCCAGCCAGGCACAGGAGCCCTCCCTGCCCACGGCCCTCCTGAAGACACAGGCCCTGCCCCGGGACCCAGGTATTTCAGATGCACCTGCGCCGGGCCCTGTGCCTTCAGCACCTCATCGGACCAAGCTTGGCTGACAGGCAAACAGCCTGGGACTGTGCAGCTTCCTTGAGGTCACACAGGTCACGAGGAGAACACAACCCAGGTCCATCTCGCCTAAAATGCACGCTTTCAGCCACCGGGCACGGAAACAACATGGTGTGGCTCTTTTGAAGCCACTGTGTAAACTGTAGCAAGTGAGCTCCACGGCCTCCAAAGCTCTAGCTGACATGGGCTGTGGCTTCAGAAGCCAGGGTGCAGCCCAGCCATCAAGGCCAGCCAGTGCTTTCAGCCACATCCCTCCAGCTTCCCTCCTGGAGTGCACGTGGCTCTCCTATCACCCTCCGCTCCCAGTCCCTCCCCAAGCCTGCT